GGGCGGTGCCGGTGGCGTGGCTAGGGGCTGCGTCATGGTCACGGGCTGCGTCGCCGAAATGGCAGCACGCTGTGTTCCGGGACAGCAGCTCCGTGCGGCACAACTTTGGGGCGGCTACTGGGCGTTTTGGAACTGCACTGCAGCACGCCCTTGGTGCAGCCACGCCTTCACTGCTTGTCGAGCTCCTCTCAGCTGCGACAGTGTCATCGTAGCTCGGGGCTCCGCTGCCCAGCGGGACCCAGCCACATGGCGGGATTGCGCAGTGTGGCTCATTGCCGCACGCTGCAGCCTGTCCACTGCCCACTGCCTGTGGTCTCCAGCATGGTGGGGTTGCAGGAAACGGCTCGCTAAAAGGCAGTATTGGGGCGAGGGGCCCGTTCAAGGTGGCACGGCTTCATGGGGCAGCCATTTTGTCCCACTCCCCCTCCGCAGGCTTGGAAGGGGGTCCCAACCTCCCTCCGTCCCCTCCTTAGCCCCATTCTCGCCCTGCAGTCCAGTATTTTTCTGTCTCATTAAGGCAAAAATATATCTCCAGGGCTTTAAAACTTCTATCGCGTTTTCGTCTCCCCTGGAGGCTGCCCTAAGTACATTGTCGTTCCCAAATATTTATATCAAGGGCAGCCTCTTTGTGTCCAATTCATGGTTCTTTGCCCACATTATTAAAGCTAATAATGCATCTTTATCATATTCTTCCTGCCATTCTTGTAAAAGAAGTGACAGTACCTTCAAAACAGGATGTGGTTGGGTTGATATCCAACTTCCCATGGCTCTGATGATTATTTTCTTCTACTTTTAAGGCTAAATCCAAAAATATTCCAGATTTTGAGCAATTTTCCACCACAAACAGCTCTCCCCCATTTATTTTTAGACTTTTTCTGCACGCCTATTATTTCAGCTTTTTGGTGCTGTTTTTTTCAGCTTTTTCCACTGTTTTGGATAGACTCTCCACACTCCGTCTTCCCTCCTGCTCTGCTTGCGGGAATGCCTGTGTCTTCACATAGGGTCACCACATGTTACGTGCCAGCCATGGGTGGAGAGACGAAATCCACAACTCAAGAGCCAGAGCTCATCAGACAAAACAGCCTCATATATTGTTCAGAGCTCATTTATATCCTCGATTGGAAACTCAGCTCACATAGCTTATTGGCTGGGGTCTCCCTCTGCCCAGATCTCTAGCCAGGGATGTGCTTCCTACTAATCATGAATAGGGATGGCTGGGGGTCCCCTGTAACTTATCCAGGAACTTGTTCAGGCATGAACTAGGCTAGCTGAATTGGATTTGTGTTTGTCCAGTCCAGGCCAGCTGTATTGTGACAATATTGTGACATTCAGCAAGGTCAGTCACCATCAGCCAAGCTTCTTGCCTCAACCAAGTAAGCAATTACAAGAGAACAAGCTTGTAGATCCATCTTTCCTTAAAATGCTTCTGTTTGATCAATGTGCCAGGAGAGAGTACTCTATGTTGCTCCTGGTTGTGGCCTTCTTGGTGAAAGGGAACCTTTCCAGTTTTACTGTAGCCTTTAGTACCCACTTTCATACTTCAGCTGTTTCTGCAATTAAGTGTGATTATCTGTCACTGAATATTTGGTCTAGTTTTGATGGATTTAGGCTTCTATGTAGCTTTCTGCTACAGCAGTCTAACCAAACAACTCTCTGTCAGGTATTCCTTACCTATGTGACAAATGCAGTAACTTTTCCTTTTGTTTTGTCATAAAACAAGCTTTATTTTAAAACATCTTTATTTACACAAGTTTATCCAAAAATGAAAAAAGATATTGAAATTCTGAAAGGGTTCTAATTAGAAGGAAAATAATATGGAACCATTGCAGTCCTTGCATTGGTTTTGTCTACCAGCTCTACCACAGTTCTACCAGCTCATTAAGTTCTTTCAGTAGGGCTTGGTAAAACAAAAAGTTTGTTTAAATAGAGGATGTCCAGCAGACAAGACAGTCCAAGGACCAGCATATTTGTGCCAGAGTCAAAATGAAGTCAGAAGCTACCAAAAACATAATGAGAAATGCTCCAGTTACAGCTGCCCCAGCTTAACTGAATTCCATGTTTTACTTAACAATCACTTTTTCAAATGGAGGTAGGAAGCTCAGTAACAAAACAATTTTTGCTCAATATAAGCAGATGAATGAAGGGGTGGCCATCATTATTTGAGATGCAGGAGAACAACATAACCATGTATTCAATTAACATCTCCTGAAGAGCCATCTCAAGAGTAGGACAAAGAAAAGGAAATGCCAGAGAAGAGGATCATGTTCTGAAATGTGCAAATTACAGTACTTTGAACACAAATAATTGAATTTATTTATTCCTTCCTTTTTTTTTTTTTTCCTCTCACCTCATGCTGAAGAGTAGGGTTGATCAATAAAATACAAAGGAGTATGGCAGGAAGTGTCTGATCAACACCATGCCAGAGTGTTTGTCCCTGGAAAGGAATAAACCAAATTTTTAAAATTACACTTTTACATAGTAAATCCTAGTGTGTTGGACAAGATACAATTTAGGGCTATATGAAATGCAAGCAAAAGTGACATGATTTTTTAATTCTTTAATTCTGGTTCTTACTAAAAACTGTCAATCTGATAACTGATGATGAAACAGTTCATTAGTATGCTCTTGTTTTGGAGCTCCCATGAACTCGGAGCTGGTGGCAATCTAAGACAGTATATGGAGTTTGCATAGCAATATTTTTGGGGAGAGGTGGGGACCACAGTGGTGCCTTCTGTGAGCTTCTGAGAGAAGCTTTCTCCATGTTCTACAGAGCCAATGCCAGACAGCTCCAGGACAGACCCGCTATTGGTAGGGTTGAGCCCAGCAGCGATGGTAGCGCTTCTGAGGTTGTGTCAGCCCCACCAAGCACAGAAAGAACAATTCCAGAGAGCTGATAGGAACAGTGAAGTTGTCTGTATGCAAACGTTCTACTCAGGCAGCACATGGAGGACAAGCCTGTTACAGATCTTCTTTAATTGGTGCAAATGCATTTCGTGTGACCTACGTGTGACTATGGATACAATGAGAGAACTTCCAGTCCCTCTCTTTGGTTTATGATCTATGTTAAATCAAAGGAACAGCTCAGAAGATGCTGCTGGTTCCAGAAGCAGTAATATGCAGGTGTTACAGCCTGGATATAATAGCTTCCTACAGGGAAAATTGTACCACCCTATGGAGACTTCAGTATTTCAGAGAAAGATGGATAAATAACAATTTATCTTTTAACAGTGCAAATGTTGAAGTTGACAAAAAAATAACTCTGTATACTTTTAATACAATCTTAGTCACTCCTTACTCCTGCTATTATGGCTATTCCCAAAAAAAGACGGACTATTCACCTTAAATTAAAGGCTTATGGAGAACCTAGAGGCAATTGATACATTAAAATTCCTTGCACAGATTTTTACTTACGCTTGTTCTTTAATTCCCTGGAGAAATGTTTTAGTTTCTGTCTCTGATATCTCTCCATCAATACTGGCCAAATATGAATAAAGGAATGAGAATGTTTTGAAGGGAATGCGAGCTGCTCCGCCTTCTGGGTCTCTTGTTAGGATCTCGCAGGCCTGTTTCATTGAACTCAGTAAGGACTGCAGGGGGTTCCAGCAAGAAATGAAAGGAAAAGTATCAGAGCCATGAACATCCTTGCATAGCATGACAAAATCCACAGTATAAGCCATTAAAAGGGAGGGTAAATGAGATGAAGGTGATATCATTATTGCCTAACTTTAAACCCCAAATTTACTCTCTAGTGCAGGTCCAAGGATGGAAACAATAATGTAGTTGTAGTAGGGAAAGGAGTAAAAAATACCAGAATCTTGTGATGGTTAAAGATCGCATAGGGTAATCTGAGCTCTCTCTCCATTAGGGCCAAATTGCTCTGTTTTGCTACTGTAAAAGCTCCAACATCACTGTATCCAGTAAAAGATCTCCCTGTGTATGTGTATATTACCTCAGTGGTTCTAAATTAATTCTCAGCAGCAGTTAAGACAGACAAATCTCCAACCCCCAGAAAATTAATATAGGTTTGGTGATTTTATTATTATATGGTAATATATAATTTTTAGATTATATTTTGGCTGATATTTACTGTTTCCCCTATCTCTATGCAAGTTCCATTTGAATAGATAGTAGAAAAAGCACTGAGGCAAAAAGCATTTAAAGAATATTTCAGTTTAGTCAAAGACAAAAAAGAATATTTCAGTTTAGTCAAAGACAAAAAACATCCGAGTTACCTTTAAAAACATGCCTCAAATTATTAGTTCCAAATACACTTTGAAAAAATCTTTACTTTAATACGGTGTTAATAATCCAGTGCCCTATGCATGCTGAGCTATATGGGGAAAAGTGTGGAAAAATTCAGCACTGAGTTTCATTCAGCCAAAGACTGGTTGAATGCCATCAAAGAAACAAATAAAACCACACATGCAATATGAAAGCAGAAAACCAAACCCACACAGGATTTCTTCAACCTAAGTCTTACTATTTTTCACTGCAACTTTTTCAAAATTTACATTTTCATTAACCAGCAAGAAACATATCTATGTAAAAAGATAGTATTTCCTAACAGTAGAATAGCAATACTTAAAATAAACGCAGTATCTATTTAAGATCTAGAACACAGGCCAGAGAAGTGTCATCTTATTATCCTTTAACAATTTTACTCAATACATCTCCTCCCCTGGGAGGCTCCTCAGGGAAAAGAGAGGCAGCTGACTCTATGGCCAGCTTTACATTTTACATTTGGCTACCCCTCTACTTCCCTTTCTGGTCCTGCCATCCCTAACTGCGGCAGTGTCTCTCTCACAATACAACAAAGTTATTCATATCCATTTTGCCAACTTGGAAAGACAATTTAACAGGCTACATATGTGGTCATTTCTCCAAGCCTTTTGTGAAAATGCATTGGTGCTTTTAGAAAAAGATACTTCAGACTGGTGCTCTTAAGAAGTTCATACTTGTCTACTCTTGTATCTCAACTGTAACCCTGTTTGACTGTGAACACAATTTACAGATGCAGGAAATGAATGTAAATTTCATATGTGTCTTTCTCTCTGGTTTAGGAAACCAAGGTTTAGGTTTCATTATGTAGTACTGAAATCAAATTATTCACTAAATATCCAAAAGCTTGGTGAGATGGTGAAATTGAGTCTGTCTGGCTCCATCAGAACAATGCTCCTGTAACTCCATTTTTGGTTTTGGTTTGTTTGGGGTTTTTTAGTGGGGAGACAGGGGTTGTTGTTTTCTAGATAAGTAGTGTTGCTGATACTATTTTTAAATTAAGAAGAGAGCCCAAACTATGAGATCATTTTGGGAGAGAGACTGGAATGAAGAAAAAAAAATTTGAAATATTTCAAGAAAGATAGACAGACAGACAGCAAGACAGACAATTGCACAATTGTATCACCAGACCAGGTTAACATTCAGGGCTTCCAGATACTGCAACATTAACAAAATATTGTTTCACATACATTTTCTGGTTAGTACCTCTTCTTCCCTACTGTAGAAATCATTAGAAGTAGTATACTTTATAAGAATATCAGCAGAACACATTTTATAATCTTTCATTCTGTTGAAATGCTCTGCTGAGATTTTATTACTGACATTAAAAGAATTGTAGCTGTAGTAGCATTAAATGCTGCTGAGAAAATTTAATTTGCTACACAATCATTTAAAAGTTGGTTCTTTAATTTCTCCCTTCAGTTCTCCTTCATGGACATTTACACTGACACCATCAGCATCATTCCTCCATCATCCTTTCACACAGTATGAGGTCCCTGCAGACATGCTTTCTCTTCTATTGCCACTCCAGTAAACTGAGGATTTAGCCATCTTTCTGGTTAAGTTTCCCAGACCAAAATCTGATGGGCAAAAGAAGTAAACATGCAAGCCATTTTGCCAGCTGGTGCAATAGCAATCACCATTCCCCAAATCCATCTGCATTAATTGTTCTATGGTCTATCTTATATATAGATTTTAGACAAGCATTTGTGTTTGGATATGAGGGCTCCTGCTGTGAACGTACCCCACCAAGCACGCTGCACCCAAGTGCCAGAAACTTCATCCATTCCACCTTCTCTCCAAAACTGTCCAGTTGCAGGATAGCTTCCAGCTGCTCCTCTGGCAAGCCCAAATGCTTCCATTTATCCCTCAGTTCTGCAAAGGTCACCATGCCTTTGGAAGAAAGCTTTGAACAAAAACATGGTACCTCAATAAAAACTCTGAAAACCAGACTGAATTTAAGAACAGAGTGTCTCCCCAAAATACTTCAATATTTGAATACTTCAAATACTTGACAGTCTCTCTCCCCAACCATCTCCAACACATCAGCATTCCTCAACAGCATTGTGCATTTGATAAATAACAGCTTGTACCTGTTTATGCAAGACCTTAAGGAGTCCTGGGGTCAAACCAGCATCTTTTTTCTCTCTTTGTGTTGCTAAAGGCATTTCGATCCTCTCCTTCACAGGAAGGGGTTCACCTTTAGACAAGGCTGAAAAATACCTAAGTGAATGGGAAGAGCAACACATCTCAATGCCCATTGCTATTACAAACTGCACAGAAGTAAATGCTCTTGCAGTTCAGTGTAAGAATCTGCAAGCTCCCCCACAGGAGCAGCATCACCTGGCAAGCTGCCTACATGCACAACTCCCATCCTCCTGTGCCCAGAAACCACAATCTTTAGACTTTACTTGAACCTTTCATGACACTCTAATAATTCTTAATGAATTTCACTTATTTTGTGCATGATATATTCAGCTCTTTTGACTGATGAACCTGAGGGCTCATTTGTTTAACATTCTCCTCATGCACTACCCAAAATGTACAGCTGCCTATTCACATTGCAACTCTCTCCTCAGAATTTCTGCTATTTCTGTCTGTTCCAAAATAAAATTTTAAAGAACTCTTAAAGTTCTAATTTAAAGGGCATTGGATGCACATCCTTTTAATTATAAGTCTGCCACAACTTAAGAGCTACCTCACCTGAACTGCCCAGCAATCTGAATTGTGCAAGGAAAACTCAGTTTTTATTCAGGTGCATCTAATTTACAATTTTCTCCACTTGTCCTGCCTCATCTGTCCTGCTCACCCAGGTCCATGTCCAGGCTATCCCATGCTGTGCACATACCTGCTAAAATACACAGCAGGAGCACTCCAGAACTGAATTAGTGTGACTATATCCATAGAAATGGATGCACAGTATGTACGTAAATATAACACCCGGGCTATTTTTCAGCCAGATCTATTTCCTCATCTGATTATTCACAGGGATAAGCACTACAACACCGGCAGCACGTGTGAAGCCACAGCCTCGTTGTGCTTTGCACGACTCCCAGGTACAGATCTTGCCCTACAAGGTACACCAGAGCATGCTCCAGAAAGAGGGGCGTGCGGTCAGCAGCAGCCGCCCCACCCAGCTGCGCGGCTCCCCCGCCGAGCTGCTGCAGTGCTCAGGCAGAGGTCGGGGGTTGGCTGCTGGCATGACCTTGGCACTGCCGGGCTGCCCCTGCTCTCGCCGGCCCCACGTCCCAGCAGGCTCAAGCTACAGAGGTAGCCGTACCTCACTTCCATCAAATTCCTAAGAAACGCCACACCATTTTAAGGTGGTCCTGCTGGCTTTCTCCAACACTGCAGCGGTAACAATTCAGCTTCAGATTATTTTCTTTTTAACAGACAAGCCAGACTCCAGCCTAGCTTTGTTAACAGCTTCCCCTCCCACATGTACACATGCCCACACAAAACATAGGACAGGAAAAAATTATAATGAGCAGTTGAAGTAAAAGAAAAAAAATCGATGTTAAAGGAGAAACAATTAAACATCTAAATCAACTTTATGGTGAGGGATTTATTACGCAGATTATCACTTCAAAGGTGCAAATTTTCAGGCACTTTTCCCAGAAAGAAAAAAGAGAAACCTAACCAAGCTTAAGAATTAGAAAGCTAATGTCTAATTTTTCCTTTAAATTCCAAGAATTGAATCACAGATGAGAGAAGAAAAACCAAGCCAAACTAAAAGATAAAATAGTTGGTCTTTCAGATAGAAAAGCAAATAACAAAAAGAAAATAAAGATGCATTTTGTGTATGGAAATCTAGCTATTTCAGAAGTATGCCAGCCCTAAGCCTCAAGGAAACAGAAAATAAATAAAATACCACACTATTTTTAAAAGGCTTGCATGCTGCATTAATTCACAGAAGCGTATATGCAATGTACATGCTGGTATGATATTCAAAGCTATGTCCACTATACAGTAAAGAAGAGAGTGAGGTTTTGAGGGTCCATATGTATAGCTCTGTGTTGTTAGGTGAACATCATACTTACGCAGCTGCCCACTGCAAAACATCGTAAGGCTGAGTCCTAATAGCAGCTTTAGTAAATTGCTTCAGAATGTTGGGCAGCTCTGGAGGGATTTTGATCTGCTGGGCACAGAACATGGTTTCTGGAAGAGGCATGGTGTCCAGTCACAAAGACCTAAAAGAAATAAAACAGCAGTTCACACATGCAGAATGTGAATGAAAAACTGTGTGTGTACATGGGAGTGAACAGTGCATATCCTCAAATTCCCTCCTGTCCTACTGGAATAGCTGGGGCTACTGCAGAGCTGACAGACTTGGAAAGGTAAACAGACAAGCCCTGCATGGCTCTAAAAAACTTTGTTGCTACACCAAATAAAACAGGGCAGCTTGGGCACCAATCACAGCTCAGTGAGAACTACTACTTTAACAGGTGACTTCAGATAGTTTTAAACTAATTTTTCTCCTCAAACCTACAACAAAAATTTGTAAAATGGGCTGTCCAGACAAGTCACACCACACATGCCAACATGAAAGGTATCTATTGACAACTCACTACTGCATGCCAAGGAAAATCTTGGCATTTTTGTACAGATGCCAGAGCATGCAGATGACCAAGTTTATGTGACTTGGTTTATGTTTATGTATTCAAAAATTCTGGAGCCAAAAGTTATCAATTTGTGTTCGTGACAGACTTCACATCAAACAAAATATTGTGATGAACAAAATATTCATGTGTGCTGCAAGCACACATGCTCATACAGCTCTACAGGTGTGTTTGTCTCATTCAGGATGTAACTCATTTGTTGCAAGGAATCCTGTTCCCCAGCATCTGAAAGAAAGGACAGAGATAGGCTATTGTATGGTCCTTCTCCCATGATAGCAATGGGGCATATTTGGTGGGAAACTCTTCTCATAATTTCCAGGACAAACTATGGCATACTTAAGTTGATTTAGCAACAAGAACCTAAAATGGTTAGTTATTTGCAGAAAGGAGGAGCAGTAAAAACAACAGCATCAAGAAAGGAATCAATGTAACAGAATCCTCTATCGATTTAGACTTTTTTAATTTTTAAGATAAAAGTAAGAGTACCTGGCAGGTAGCTTTCTTATGTGAATTTTCCTGTTGCGGAAAAGAAAAAAAAATAAAAAATAAAAGCCAGCAACAGAGTGATGAAACTGCTATGACTCAAGGCTCCTTTGAGGATCATACCATACTTAGAACTTTATTTATGGAGAAATGTAGACAGGATACAGAATCTTCATCACTCCAATGCAGCCAATTTGCATCAGAAACAGACTTGAAAGTGCACATTTAATTACCACATTGGTTATGTTTTTTCAGTAGTGATTCAAAAACACAGCTCTAGCCAAGGAACTGAAGCTAGATGAGAATTTCAGGACAACAGAAAAACTTGGAGGAAGGAATACAGGTGTGTCTGTGTGTGTGTACCCTTGGGAAACAGTCAAATAAAAGACTAAAAATATAATCACAAAAGAAAAATACAGTTCAAGAGCTGCTTTTCTACAGTAAGCCATTAGTCACAGAGTCTCACAGAAGGGCAGAGGTTGGCAGAGACTTCTTGGAGGTCAGCTGGTCTGAACCCCTGCACAACCTATGAGCAGGTTGCCAAAGATCCATGTCCAGGCGTGTTTCAAGAATCTCCCAAGCATGGAGAGTCTACACCCCCCTGGGCAACCTGCACCAGCACTTGGTCACCCTCACAGGTGTTACAGATACATATTATATTATTGGCTTTTTGCAAATACTAAAATGAAAGTTACATGTATAATGTTGGAAAACTTTGCTGTATTAATATAGTTTCTTTTATTTCTGTTATTGATGAAGGTTGTAGCATAGTATTAAAATAAAAAAAACCTGCTTTTGTTCATATAACTCAGAGACTGAAAAATAGTCAGAAATGCCCCCTGCATTCTTAGATTATCTTATCTAGATGAAGACAGCGGTGACTAGTGGTTCAAGGGAGGAATTTATTGAACCTCCATTACCAGGGAGTGTGAGCCTCAACAGAGCCAAGAAGATTGATCTATGGGGGAGGGAGGAGTTAAGCTAAACAAAGGAACCTCTAAAAATTAAGAAGAATGTTTGAATCTTGTATAAGAATTTGTGCATATGTAATAGGGTTCTGTTTTTAAGGGACAATCCTTTGTTAGTAAGGTGTGCTCTCTTGGCTGAATGCAGAGACACCCGGCCATATTTGTACATTTTGCTTTATTTGTATCTCCTAATTGTCTTTCTATTAAACTTTTTAAATTTTATATAAAAAAATGTGAACCTTGTTTTTCACACAGGGAAAAAGGGTCTCTTGTTCAGAGAGAACATCCTGTACACATATACACACACACGCCTAATGATCAAAGAAAAGCACAGCTAGGTCAGGCAGCTCCTGCACCCCTTCACCGTTGTTACTCTGTCTTGGGTTACTCTCGCTAGAGACAAAGGTGAGCTCCTAACTTTCACTTCCTGTTAGCTCTTATTTTCTGTTATTTTCCTTTCACGCATCCCAGCCCCAAGCCAGCCCCAGGTGTTCAGGAAAAAAGGCCAAAGCGTGTCCGCACGCAAGTGGGACTGGCAGAGCCGCGAGTGCCCGAAGCCCATCCGCCCCGGGCTGTGGGGATGCAGCGCGGGCGGGCACCGGCCGCGGCGCGGCTCCTCGCAGGCCGGAGGGAGCCGCAGGGCCGCCCCACGGTNCACCTGCCCCGCTCCACGGCGCCGCTACCCTGGCAACGCGGAGGGACGGGCCGCGGCGGGCGGTCTGGGCGCTGGGCGGGGGAAAAACTTGATGGCGGCGAGGTTTAAAGGGCAAGAGCAGCGCCTGTTTTGTACAAACTTTTGAAAAGGCCCAAACCATGGATGAGGGGACTGAGTCTACATTAGTAAATGCACTGACAGCCGCAAGGTGGGTCGGATACAGCGACTGGACGTGAGCCAGCAGTGGGCCCAAGGTGGCCAAAAAGGTCAGTGGCATCCCAGCCTGTGTCAGCAGTAGTGTGGCCAACAGGCTGAGGGAAGAGGGGATTCTTCCCCTGTATGCGGCCCTGGTGAGGCTACACCACGAATCCTGTGTCCTCTCAATTCAGGGAGGAACCAGAGTGTTCTGGAGGGAGTGCAGGGATGGGTAACAAAGCTGGTGAAGGGCCTGGAGCACAAGGCCAGTAGGGGAAGCTGGGGTTGTTTAGCCTGGAAAAGAAGAATCTCAGGGGTGACCTTACTGCTCTCTACAATTTCCTAAAAGGAAGGTGTAGGCAGGAAAGGGTCAGCATCTTTTCCCACCCAGTGACAGAGTAAGAGGGCATAGTCTTAAGCTGTGGCAGGAGACATTCAGACATTTAGGTTGGACATTAAGAAGAATTTCTTCACAGAAGGGGTAGTGGAAGGGTTAATCCAGGGAGGTAGTGGAATCACCATCCCTGGTGGTGTTGAAGGGAAGAATGCACGTGGCATTTAGTGCCATGGTCTAGTTGCTAGGGTGGTGTTTGGTCATAGGCTGGTCTTGATCTCAGAGATCTTTTCCAACTTGATTGATTCTGTGAACATCTTAGCACCATATTATTGGCAGAGCCCATGGCAGGGAAGCTGGTTCCTGGGCTCCTGGGTCCCCTGGCCACAAGGATACTCTACTGGATGAGCAGTGTTAGGGTGGCATGTCCATCTTGCCTTTGGCATTCTTGCACCTCCTTTCCTGGCTTGGATGAAAAGTGGAGAAATGCTGATTGAGCTGAAAAAAAGACAGGGCAATGTAGCCCCAAAAATTCTCTTTACTCATAGCAGCTACTGCTTCCAAGGACAGCTCAGCCACAAGCAACCTCTGCTGATCAGGCTCCACAGTCCTGGACATTCAGAATAGCAGCACCACTGAGAGTCTGCCACCACTGAGAGCAGCACAGCCAGTGCCAGCTGCTTCTCAGCACCTGATGGTCCAAACTGACACCACAAGGCAGCATGGGCTCTCCCACTGTTCCAGAATGTGAGGAACCAAACTGCCCTCTCTACCACAAAGTCTTGGTGGACAGCTACAAGTCTTTGCACTGCAGATAAAAACAGCATCAGAGGTAATCTGACTGACATACTTTGTAAACACACCAGTGCATCTCTTGCTTACAAAGCAATAGCCCTCTTGTACCTTCTAACATGGACTGTACATAGCCTGAGCACTCAAATCAACTTGGTAATAGGATTATTCATTTCAGAAAGGCTTCACAAGCTGTTGCTCCAAAGAAACTTGGGTGCTGCATGCTTGAAACAGGCCAAGCAGTTACTGCAGAAGCACACAATCTTATTTGAAGCCAGGCCTTTTAATCCACATTATGTCCCCATTGATGAACATGCAAGGCCACGCAGGACAAAGATAAAATGTGGGCTCCGGAAAGCATTAAGCACACATTTTAACTTTTTAATCTTTCATAAAACATGAATACTTAGCATATAAGCAACAGGCTAATTATTTGGCCTCAAAATACTTTGCAGATTCCTGTAACTAATGAAAAAGCAAACTTCTGACATATAATTACATACATTTCTATCCTTTAGCTGTTTTCAAACATCTACTCATTTAAGAACACTATAGCAAGAAAAACATGAAACAAACATTATCCTGCAGGAGTTTACAGAATATAATTCAATTAAAGTGATTTCACAGTGCAGTTTTTCAAAGGTGTCTAGTGATAACAGATAAACAAGATTAATATTATCTCTTATCTGTGATCGTTTCACACACTAGAAAATATCCTTAAAACACTCAAAATGTAAATGTCATACTCTTAATTCTTCTATCTATTTGGTCCAGTGCAGTGAAATAATGGATAAAGCTGCCACACGGTATTTATGGGGAACAGCAGCATGTAGGTGGAATATTTTTCTATATTTAATGAAATGTATTTTCATAGAAACATAGAATGGCTTGGGTTGGACTTTGCAGATCACCTGTAAGGCATGAGCACTTTCACCAGACCAGGCTACTGAGCTCCATCCAACCTGACCTTTAACATGTACAGTGATGGGCATCCACATCTTTTCTGGGCAACCTGTTCCAGTGTTTCATCACCCTCACAATAAAGACTGTCTTCCTAACAGCTAATCTTAAACTATTTCAGTTTGAAGTCATTCCCCCTTGTCCTGTCACTACATGCTCTTGTAAATACTCTCTTTATATGAATCTGTGCTGCTTCCTAGGAGTATTTCCTCCCACTGTATAATACCAGGTCTTGTATATAAAGAACATTTAAAAGTATATCCACAAATGTAATTGTTGCTTTACAGCAGCACTGCCAGAAATGCTGCTGTATAGCAACACAATTAGAATTCCTGCTGCTTCCTACTTCCATGACTCCTGCTCACAACTAGTCAAAATATTCCATGGACTGTCCATTCTATTCCAGCAATATTTAGATTCATAACATTCCTCACCTAACTCTAGCAAGCCACTTATGCAATTTGTATCTGCTAAACATGGCACACCAGTGCACTATTTAGGTTCTAATACAGAAACTCTGTATTGAATACTCTATTCAGCTTTGCAGTGTTCTGTTTTTGTAAGCAAGAAGGAATTCTAAGTAAAACTAATGTCCTTTTCCAGAAACACAAACAGTCCTTGAAAGGCAAGTAATGTTAAATACCACCCCCTTCTCCCACACCTAATGTTAGACATCTTCAGATGTTTGACTTTGCCTTATAAAGGGGAAAATGCTTCTGCAGCTTTGGTGTTGGTCAGTACTCATGAGGTAAAAGGTAATAGCAGGTAAGCAGAAAAATTCATATGCAGAGCTGTGAAATAATCTTCCCATTGCTCCATCTCTTAGTATTATACTGAAGTAAAAACATTCCATTTATTTTGAAACTATTTGACCTCTGGAAATACAATATTTTAAAATTTTCCATTACTGAGTAACTTTGATTTCACCATATCATTTCTCAATTTATGGTGACATCTTAATGAATAAATTAAAACCAAAAGCACAGCTTAAAAAATTGCTGTTAACTGTGCAATTCTTTAGTTTGTTACCTAATTAAGAACTGAAATACCAGAGTAAGATAGCTGTAACTTACCACTGTGCTTCGTAAAAGTTGTTCCTCATCTGTTTCAGAGAACAGCTTATTTAATTTTGCATACTGAACTTCATTACACTACCAAGAATCAATTCCTTGTTTAATGTTTTTACTATTTGTGTATCATCATTTCTTCCAAGAACCTCACTCATTGCCCAGGCTGTACAGCAGTCTTTATTCCCAAGGCAACAGAACAAGAACACTGACGCTACCACAAACCCTTTCCAATCTAGATGTAAAAAAATGGACAGTGATGTTCAAGGAAACAAAATGATGCTGATCAGCATGCTAGGCAATCAAACCCCAGTCATTTGTGCTTTGTGAGGTACAGAACCTTGTGAAGCTTTTCATGGTTTTCTGAACAACAGTGCAGCTGATGTGAAGATTTTTATGGAGACCTTATGCAAGCATAGGAGAAGGCAAGGAAAGAATGCGCTCAGCTGCAAAGTGATGTGAGCACTGTAATAGGTTGGAGTTGGCATCTTACTGGAGAAATCAGACACAAAGCAGTTACAGGTACGGAAGGGCCCTCAGAAACAAAATCAACTAGCTTCAGCTTCACTCAATAATTGAGAAGGGGCAGACAGAAAAGATGCAGAGTTCTAACTATTTTTAATCAATATAGAAGAATCTGTGTAAAAACAGTTAAAGCCATGCTGCAATTAACTTCTTTCAATATACACAAGATAGCTGCAGAGCCATCTGACAATTCTTGGATGAAGACCTGTAGAACTAACAGCATTAGATTCTCAACAGACAAAGGGGATAAAATTGAGCCAGCACACACCACCAACCCCTCCAGTCAAAACCAAGGTCAACACAAATTGTGGTGGAAGAGTGTGTGTATACACACACACACACACACACACACACACACACACACACACACACAGATTCTTTCCCACTTGAAAAGTAAGAGGAGCCCACACAACTCTGCATCACTCCACCACAGATGGAAACTACTGGTACAGTGCTCATCAGCTGTCTCAGAAACAGCCACTTAACTTACAAGCTTACTTATCAAGTTTCTATGCTAGAGGAGCATGCAGCACACAATAAAGCAAACCCACTGAAATTTAAAACAATTTATAAAGTACTGTTAATCCCTATTCTCTACAACCTCCATATTCTTTCAAAAAATGTGTAAAAATAAGGAGATGAGGACATGAGATTTCTGAAAAGTTCACAATGGACAGTTCTGGAAACAAACTTCACCTGGGATCTGTAAAGCAGTGCAAATGCCAGCACAACAGTTGGATTTGAAATCATTTTCCATTAAAAAACCCCCAAAAAACCAAATACAGATAATGTAAGCAACATCAAAACAGCTGCAGTTCCTATTGCATGACTGGCCTGATTTGCTATTTTCTTTCATGACTTGTAAAATACCAGTAGTAAGAAACAGCACAAAGGCTTTTTCTTAATAAATTTTAATATTAAGAGCAGTTTGTCTGGATAAAAATGCAGTTACAAGTACCACACTACTGCAAATTCTGCATGATGCACAGTAGTGCTGACAACATTTGAGTAGCAAGACCATTTTGGAACTGTTTATGAAAGGTATGTCAAAAACATGGCGTAAGTAAGAATATATGTTACCAGTGAATTTATTATTGTGAAAATATATCTGTCCCACAATGTACACCACTGTGAATAATCAAATGCAATATTTATGCACATCAAAAATATATGGGGTGAATATATACTCAGTTGAGCATTAAATCAGCCACAGTAAATGAAAGAAATATTTTGGCTATTTTCTATTATTTCATTTCATTGGAAATTTCCTAATAAATCACTCAAAAGGGCAATATTTCTGGTTCAAAACCATCAGGATAACAGTAATTCTGTAAAATAGTATGGATTTGAGAGATTTGAGCCCGATCTTCCTGCCACTAGATTCAGATGCATTTGGCTTGTGCTCGCTGCCTTAGAACATAAGTCCAGACACCAAAAGAATGAGCTACCACCTTCACAGCCGGGACCACATTAGTTCATACCAGGTAAGATCAGGGATGCAACATCAATAAAAGGAGATGACACTTTAAAAGCACCTGCCAGATTCTCAAGGATTAACTACATACACACATAGTAAAGTACAGAATACTGAAGGAGAGTGTATTGAATAGCAAATTAAATGTTCCATCCAATGTTCCATCACTTTTCTCAATACTGCAATGGATATTCACATTTTTCGCATTGGTCCAGGAAAGATACTGCAATCTAAGCATGTGATCTGATGCTACTTAAAGCTTTGTGATACTGTTATGCATTTTCTTTATCTACATAACTGCCACCCCCAAACATAAGCGCAAAAGAAATCTATCTACATATAGAAATATCAGAGACTTGACTTGGTGGCTCTTGTTTGACTGTGTTCTTGCAAAGAAATCTGCTAACTTTTCCTTGCCTGTTTAATAAGATATGTGTTCCCCTGCCCATCAGGCCATAAATGGTACATGATAAATCAGTATTATCCCTCAGTATTATTCCCATAAAAATTTGCAGTGACTAATTCAGAGACATTTTTTTTGGTTGGGTTTGGTTTTGTAAAAAGTAATTGTGCAATATAAAATTCATATGACAATTTTCAACTTTGGTAACTTACAGAAAAAAAGATACCAAGCTCTTTAACTAAGGATCAGGTCAGGACATTGCTTACACTATGCTCTTTCTGCTGTGTAAGCACATCAGTTAAGGTTAATCCCTTTTCTTGAGATCCCGAAAAATTCTAATATTGACAAGAAATTTGCTACAAGTTGTGAACCTATCTAATTTTTCTTGGTACCTTTAAATACTTCCATCATCTAGCCTTAGTACATTTTTACTTACTGTTTCAATTAGTGAAATCCTGATCCCAAAGCCAACACCCACTTACCCCTTCAACCAAATAGAAAAATCCAGCTGAGCTTCAACAAGTACATCTGAATTCTCAAAAGAGGAAATGTTTTCTTGATTTAACAGCAACTGTACAATATTACAAACTCTGACACATGAAAAACAATCAGGCAATAGAAAAATGTACAACAGCTTTGGTGTTATACAAAATAATAAAAAAAAGACTGGACAGCAAGATACATAGTTCATTATGTTCTCAACATAGCAAATTCATTGCTGACTAAGACAGTTATTTACTTTTCATATTCTCTACGTGTTCTTTCCACTCATGAAAAATCATACTGTATTACAACAATAAGAGCTGTTATGAACACCATAAAGTAAGCTCCAAATTTTATAAAAACATCTTGCTTCTTCACACTATTGCTTTGTGGCACATTGTCAACAGAACAGCAGTCCAAAATAAAGTGACAACTAGATTTAATAAATTAATATACTTTTAAAAGATGTACAATGCACATTCTTTTTAATCCAAGGGTTTAGGGTGTCAGGACACTTCTATATACACATATACAGACCTCAGACAGCATTTACAACATCAGAAAATGCAGATAAGAGACAGAGCCTTAACTGCTATCTGGATGCTACCAACAGAAGCCAAAACACTGCTGAGAGTATTATTGGGAGAGATATCCAAAGAAGAGAAAAGTCAATGAAAAAAGGACATGTAAAGGCAAAGGGAAGGTCAAGATGTTTAATATGACCATCTATTCTTGTGAAGACTGAGGTGGAGTTGTTGATGTGCCTGGTTTACCAGACTTCCGTTCGTAATTCACAAGTCGTTGTCCAACAAGGTACCTGGGATCACAATAAAACCAGAAATTAACACAATGTAATACTATTCTGTAACACAAATCCACTCTTATCTCCTTTGCTGCCAAAGTAGTTTATTAATTTCAATAAAAAGTTATTATATAAATTGTAAAGGAAGAGCTTTAGCTGCTGCTTAATCTTTCTTAAAGGGAGAGAAAATATCCTGATGCTACTCCATGGAAAGCTTAAGGGGTACAAGACTCCTTGAGTGTGATATTGAAACAGAATTTAACTATCTCAGCACCTTAACAGTTTTCATACCTTTCACATTATTGCTTTATTCCTCTATATAATTGATCCACACTTTTTGCCACCTAAATTCCTTTTCATGCTTCCTATTTGCATGTCATGTGTGTACAAGAGCCCTACCCACCTGTGAATTCTTCCCCTGAGATGTCATTTCCTTTAGAAACTTTTCACTTTGCTCCTTTTTTCATGGTACCATAACCAACAACCATCATGCACTTTGTACATTTTAGAATGTCACAAACACTTGTATATGCTTTTAAAATTTGTTACATGAAAAGATATAATTACACATATTTCTAAAGCACAGATCTCTACTGGCAGGCATGACTGTCTGCTTACTTCCTGAAATGAGAAAATTAAGTCATACAAACTTCTTGTCTGCAAGGATGTTACAACATTAATAAGCTTATTTAATACCAAACTAATTTTCACTTAAAAATTTTCAGTCGCTTCTTAATATTTAATATTCAAAGAAGCCTATTTTAGGTTTGACTCCTTTTGTAGTTATTGGAAAGCAAAACTCTTATGGGGAAACTCAGGATATGAATGTAACAAAACTAATTTATTCATTTTCAATGCAAAAGAAGCCTAGCAAGATTAGTTGCTAATCTTCTTAATAACTCACAAAAAAGGTAACTAGGGTAACACCAAAAATAATGTAACAATACCAAAAAAAAGGTTAAACTAAGCAAGACGACAAGAAAATAACAGGAAAATTATTATATTCATTAGGCATCTGAGCAATACAGAGTAATAGTTACTGAAAACATCAGAAAACCACACAAAATTTGGTAAGGATAAACTATCAAATCAACTGAATATTCTTTAACAGGTTAGTTGGACTAATGAGTAGGAAGAGTAAGAGTAAGAAAACCATTATGCAGAAAAGGCTGAAGAACTGGTTTTATAAGCAGCAGCCTGAGACATGACTTTAACTTCCAGGTACATTTTAAGTCATGACATTCATTTGTCATTCAAGACTACAGATGAGACAGTCAGCTTCATTTGAGGGAAAACACATTCATGTTAGACATGGGGGAGTGTCTTCCCTTTATGGAGTCTACTCCTGTGTTTATCTACTGGAATCACAGATAAAACATCTGCCAAGAACAGTTTGTCTTAAAGAGTCATTTGTCTAGAAAACTTATTAAAAACCATTTTAGTCCTAAGTATCTACAACATCTGAATACAACCTGAAGTAATCATACATATACAGATATATATAAAGGGGAAAAAATAAAAAAAATACCCCTATATACTCACTTGTCATTTTTAATATGTTCATAAAGGCGCTTGAACTGGCGGACTTGGAATGACAGAATTCCCATCAAAACCACCACCATAAGCAGAAAAGGATAAATCCGTCGCTGAACGAGGTTCTGCATTTCAGCAGTAACTCCTACAAAACAAGATACAATCCTTAGACATTCTAATACTGCTGAACTAACTCACATATTTCTGCTCCTCTACTCGTGCTTCCATTCTTTTAGTTCTACTGTAACTTCAGTAGAACAGTGAAATAAATTACACATCCGTTTACATGAGAGATCCAGCATGACAGCTGCTGTTCTTTTTAATCTGAAGCACTATGAGCAAAATGTTTTCCATTAACAGACTGAAAATCCACAGTAGAAAAAAAAAGGGGTTATCAGTTCTTTTTGCCTGTTTAACTTCTGTTCATCTGCTTACTGACTTCTCCTTGTATCAAAACGTCAACACAATAAAAGTCAGCATTCAATAAATGCAGAATAAAATGGGATTTCTTGAACATGTTAGTATCAAAACTAACTAGTAAAAGACAAGTTGATGAAAAAGCTTATCTATCCTGGTTCTAATGAAATGATTTATCTTAATTATGAGAAGATAGGAAAGTCTGAAAAAACCCTATATATTTAAAATTTACATTTTAATACTATTAAAACCTCAAAAGAAACCCAGGATTTTCACCTGTTCTAAGCTTCATTTAGAATCTGACAAGTCAGAAAAGATGGCCTCAGCTCAGTATAGCTCCTAGAGTGACTAAAATCAAAGGCTGATTGTCCAAAGAAGAAATGAATTAAGCATTCCTTTCCCAAACTACCTAGATACTTAAAATGTACAGACAAGAAATCAGTGTCTGCCCCTCCTCTTGGGTAAGGGGAGGGGCAGACACTGATTCCTTTTCTGTGGTGAACCTTGGACAAATCTTTTCTGTGGTGTCCTTGGGACAAGACCCAAGGAGCAGCCTCAAACTGTGTTAGAGAAGGGTTTGTGTTGGGTATTAGAAAAAGGTGGATCACCCAGAGGATGTTCGGGCACTGGCACAGGCTGCCCAGGGAAGTGGTCACAGCACCAAGCCTGACAGGGTTCAAGAAGCATTTGGTCAATATTACTGGAACATGGTGTGACTCTTGGAAGTCTTTAAACATTTACTTTTGTCAGCAGAAGAGAAGTAATTTGATTGTTTTGTTTTGTTTGTTGTGTTGGGTTTTTTTTATAAACTAGGGCTTGAAGTTTTATTTCCACAAACATACTTACACTGTTGTAAACCATGAGATGACAAACAGATGTTCTGAATGCATACATACCCAGTAAAGGTACAACACCAGAAGCTATGATGTACGGCACACACAGGGAAAGTAAGAGGACAGAGATTACGGGTGCTGCCAGTTTACGGATGATGAAGTGTAAATCAATGTTACGAATTCCATTTGCATATACCTAAAATGGAATAAGTTAGAAGTAGAACAGATCAATCAAGAAAGCCTTGCTTTGTACTTACAGCACTAATTACAAGGTTTTACACAATTCTCCTTAAGAAAGGAAATGGGCGTTCCCATGACCACAGCTGAAGGAAAAACTCTCTGACAACTTACATCATGAGGGTTCCACGAAATCATTTAAACAATACCCAAGAGACCAATTTAATCTGGAACAGAGTTGTGATTCAGTTGCAGGAATGCAAGAGACCTTCTGAAAGATCATTTAATAGAGCTGTGGACAATGGTTTTGTGGGTGACCTGGGATAATTTTGCACTATTAACTTCCTAGAAGAGGATCCTGTACATGCTAATAGAATAAATTAATAGATTTTGTAATGGGCAGAAAATAGGATCCAATTTTGTACTTGGTGGGGCAGACCAGAGCCTCTGTATGTAGAGTCTATACCTGAAAAAAAAGGCCTCCACAATTCTTAAGCTTCTGCAGTTACTACCAGAAGCTAATGTCAAAACATAACCAGATTAAGCATGGGAAAAGACCAGTTTTAAATGGCTATCAGCTGCAGCTAAACAATGGCCTCTGTCCTACAGGCTGGAAGGTTCAGGAGAGTGTGGAAAAGGCCCATAGAGAGCATTCAGAATGGAAGAGGGAGCCATGGTATACATCAAAACATACTCCCAGACTAAGACAATATTTCTGCAGTGTGACAGCTGAAGTGATCTAATAACTGGGACCATGTGCTAGACTTAACCATGAGAGGCACCTTGTGTACGCAGTTTGAGACATGCACCACAGGCATCACATACAGTGCGGGGCTGAA